GACTGGTAAAGTAAATTTGTCCCTCATGCTTAACTAAGCACCACACTGTGCGGGGGAATGGAGGTATAGCTCCACTATTTCTTGACATCAGCACTAGATGGAGATTAGTAATCAGCTTCAGTCCACTTTGCCCCAGGGAAAGAACTCCCAGTTCCCACTGGATGGAAGGCTAGGTGGGTCCCAGACACAGTAACTAAGGGAAAAATTCTTTCTCCTGCTGGGAATCAAACTCTGGTTGTCAAGACTGTAGCCTAGTCATTGTTCTAATTGAGATTGCACTACTTTAAGAAGTATTTCACAGTATGTGTTGAAATGTATTTGTTTTGATAGTTCATTCTTTTCTCTCTATTCATGTTTGTAATTTCCTTCACAAATCTTCAGATAAAATAGATTAGACATATATTCATAACAGTTTTGTAATAGGTCAAACAAAATCTTGAATATGTAGGATTTGAGTTTTTCACGGCAGTGACTATGAAGATTGTTGTGCCGTGTAGTCTGGTAGAAGTTCACCAACGTTTCAGAGGTCCTTGCTGCCTCCACCATCAAGGTGATGTGTCATGGTGGTTATCACTTCTTCTTCTTATTCATGGAGTCTTGGGTTTGAGTCTTGAACCAGAGGGTGGCTGTCTTGATTGAGGACTCTCTTGGTTTTTCTTAGTCTACACCACACAAAATTCCATGGAACACAGTTCTATCCCATCAGCCAAACACTGTTTTGATCAACAACAAACATCGTAATCCTATCACTCAGGTAAGTGAAAGGATGGTATCTGTGAGAAAATTTTAAAATTCACTAAACATTTCTTCATGAGGCACTTCTTAAGATTGCAATAATTTACTTAAAACTCTGCATCCAAGCAGTAATAATAACATTTTGGTGGCTGTACTTTTACACACAAAAATTGCACTTCATGACATTCATTCCACTATTTGAGATGATTACTTTTAAAATAATTATGTTGGAATCACTGCTTAAGTGGTTAGTTTTAGTAGTTTAGTGTTATTATGAGATAATTTTCTTTGGACACTGCCCATTGTTTGCAGTTAACATTATAGTTATCTTGCATTTATAGGGTTGCCAACTACATTGTGTACATAAATATATATTTGTATATTATCCCATGTTTATAGTTTTTCTTGTGTGTTATATGAAATTTCAACATGTTAAGCCTTAAATCGTTTCATAAAGTTATATTATGTGAGAATGTAAACTGGACTGATATGAAATTTGAAGTTTTAATGGCTGTGAGGATGTTGATGATGTCCTTCTGGGTTTTGGCACCATGACTCAGGATTATGTAGATTAATTTAAGTAGGAAAGAATCTTCAGGTCAGACAGTCCTGTCCACAGCAAATAATATTCTGAACCAGAAGATCTGGCAGCCCCATGCATTCACATTTGTGCACGTAACCCATTCCTACATAGTTGTGAACATTAATTGTGCTATCACGACCTGTAATACAGCCTGGTTTCCAAGTATTTTGACCGTGTGCAGGAATGTGTAGAATGTATCAGACTGAGATCTGGACAGGTGGCTTTAAAATATCAGTATTCATATATGTAATTATGTATGTATTATATACCACTAGTTTCATAATGTTAATTTATATATTACTGTTATTTACATTTTTTCTTCGGGTGTTTTACAGTAATTACATGAATAATAGATTATCATACCAAATGTAAAACATTCCAGAATTACATTTCAAAGTCTGAGATACCAGTATAATTTTGTTTATACAATATATATTTGAAAAATATGGTTTATTACAGTTTTAAAACAGTATAACAAAATAACTTAAGTTGCATGGTTCTATATATATATAAAAACTACACAAGCACAGGATGATTGCAACAGTTGATGTACCACTTCAAAACAGCCATAAGAATATAAATTGGCTCCTTGTTCCCAATACTGACTGAGCACATTGGTTGGTAGAATAGATTATGTGGATTATGTATGTGTGTGTGTGTGTGTGTGTGTATATATATATATATATATATGCATGGATGCAAGTGCATGCATGCATGCACACACACACATACACACACACACACGTGCGTATCATGAGGCATTGCTGCTTACAGTTATCACAGTAAACTTATATTTAAGTTCCAACAAAGTAATCATCCCAAATCAGTGGTTTACATATATACATTTTTTTCAAAACTTTCATTGTTAATCAATTTTCATCCCATAAGTTGTCTCCTTATGACAGGAATATTACAGACCCACTATGGTCATAATGGCATCAGATGTGTTAACCTGTATAATAGAATACAGGATTTAAAGGCCCATATGATGGGGCTGCTAACTGGACTATAAATCCAGGGTTTAAAGGTTTAGCAGAATGCTGCAGTGACACATGGCCATTTGGACTGCCCATAAGCCATTGTGTGCAGCTGATAAAGTTTAAACTTGCAGAAAATTTTTAATTGTTTTACCCTTCAGTGTCATCCAATGTACATAGGATGCCTGTTGTTTTTTCACATGTTCATATCCATTATACACAGCAAATAAAGCACAGCTATAACTTCCATTTAATCTCTTGTAGTCACATAATTTTAATGGTTATTTTTGTTATAATACTTCAAAGAGTAAAATGTAGGGTTATGATTCATGTATGGCTAGTTGTTGTACATAGATCAATGAAATCATCTGATTCTCAGAGGCATTTACTATTTCATATGTTTGGTGGGACCATACATCAATTATTTATAGATTTCAAAAAAACCTATGACTCTGTGAAGAGAGAAGTGTTATATAATATTCTTATTGAATTTGGTATACCAAATAAGCTAGTGAGTCTAATAAAAATGTGCTTAAATGAAACCTGTAGCAAAATTCGAGTAGGTAAATATTTATCTGAGACATTCTTCATCAAGAACGGTCTAAAACAAGGAGATGATTTGTCTCCCTTGCTCTTTAACTTTGCGCTAGAATATGCTATCAGGAAAGTCCAAGATAGGCAGGAGGGTTTGCAATTGAACGGGACACATCAGCTATTGGCATATGCTGATGATGTTAATTTATTGGGGGATGATATGAATACAATAAAGAGGAATGCAGAAGTTTTACTAGAGGCTAGTAGACAGGAGGGGCTAGAAGTAAATTCAGAAAAAACTAAGTACATGTTAGTATCTCGTCATCAGAAGACAGGCAGGCAAAATTATCTTAGGGTAGCTAATAAGTCCTTTGAAAGGGTTACAAAGTT